ATCTAAATGACAATTAAAATTAGGGGAAAGTAAAAAAATAGATGCAATAAAATCATGTCCCAAAGTACATAACCACAAAATATTAGTCTATCAAAACTCCCAAAGTACAATTAAGAAAGAACATATAAAATCCAATCATGTCCCATCACTAAATGGGTCTTCAAGGGAATCTTCTCACCCCTTCCTCCTCTCCTATAGAGTCCAATGTCTTCCAATCAAAGCATGCACTCATGAAGAAGTAGACTAACACTAACAACTATAACTAAAGATGATGAATAGAACAATATGCCGGACTGCCGGGGGTCCAAGGGGGCGCTGCCCCTTGGCGGGGTTCGACCTGGCATGTTCCTTAGCAATACCGAGTGGTACCGAGCAAGTTCGTAAGTTGTTTTTATGGGAAGATACCGAGTGGTACCGAGCATGTTCCTTAGCAATACCGAGCATGTACCTAGCTGTACTGAGCGGTACCGAGCATGTACCTAGCAGTACCGAGCAAATACCTAGCTGTACCGAGCATGTACCTAGCAGTACCGAGCAAATACCTAGCTATACCGAGCATATACTGAGCGGTACCGAGCATATACCTAGCAGTACCGAGCAAATACCTAGCTATACCGAGCATATACTGAGCGGTACCAAGCATGTACTGAGCGGTACTGAGCATATATTTGAGGCGTACGCCTCAGCCAGAATTGCGCAATTGCGCCTCTGAGGCGCGCCTCAGTCCAAGTGAGGCGTACGCCTCTGCCAGGAGAGGAATTGCGTAAGCCTCGAGGCGGTTTTTGGTCAAATTGCGCAGAGGCGCGCCTCTTATTGCGCAATTTTAAACAGAGCAAAACACCAGCCTTTACACACCTCTCCATGTGCCTAATAAACCTTGGCAGGATGTTAGCATTGACTTTGTCTTAGGGTTACCCAAGACCATTAGGAAGCATGACTCAGTATACATAGTCGTAGATAGATTTTCTAATATGGTCCATTTTCTCCCGTGCTCCAAAACTTTTGATGCTTCTAGAATAGCTAAGCTGTATTTTAATGTCTCAGCTTACCTAAGACCATTGTTTCAGATAAGGATGTGAAATTTACTAGCTAATTTTGGAAAACGTTATGGCACAAAATGGGGACCAAATTACAATTCTCTACTGCTTTTCACCCCCAAATGGATGGTCAAACCGAAGTAGTGAACATGAGTTTAGGAAATCTTTTAAGGACCTTGGTAGGAGAAAAAATATACGGGACTGGGACTCTAAGCTACCTATAGCTGAATTTGCCTACAACAACTCTGTGAACCAATCTACGGGTCTAAGTCCTGCTGAAGTCGTGTACATCCACCTACCTAAACAGCCCATTGATTTGATTCTCATGAGTCCTAAGGTTAGAATCTCAGAGTCTGCTCTGCATTCACATCTCATCTTCAAGAATTGTACAAAGAAATAAATAAAAGAATTCAACAAAGTAATTCTCACTATAAGATTAATGCTGATCGTAAGAAGAGATTTAAAGAATTTGAAATTGGAGATTTTGTTTTGGTACGGATTCGCCCGGAGCTGTTTCCTCAAAGAGCCGTTAAAAAGTTACATGCTAGAAGTGCGGACCCCTTTATGATAATCTTGAAAGTAAACAGTAATGCTTATGTGTTAGACCTTCCTGAAGGCTTTAATATGAATCCTACGTTTAATGTTGAAGATTTAGTAGCTTTCGAGGGACCCGAGTTTAACCCTGATAATCCACTTCATAATAAGCCTTGTGAGAACCCACCTAGTGAGATCCCCAGCCTACATCCACTCCCCAATTTACCCCATTTTCCCATTGCGGAGAAGGTCGAAGCTATACTTGACGATGAAATCATTTCCACGAAGGAAGGTGGACGCCAACGGTACTTGGTGCATTGGAAAGGGAAGCCGGTGACAGAGGACACATGGATCGATCGAGAGGAGCTACAGAGTTTGGACCCAGATCTCCTAGAGATGTACGAGAGCTCCAGAGATTTTTACTCGACGGGGTCGAGCTCTGTCCCACCTGGGGAGAATGATGAGAACATCGATCAGAGGTTCAAGCATGTGTATCGCCAGAGATAGCGCAGATCGATGGCCACGATTCAGAGTTTATATTTCTAGATGTTTATGCATTTTATTTCTTGGAGGCTTCCTATTGTACCTCTAGTTTGAGTTGAGTCATGTTGTAGCCCTGAGGGCAATTTAGTCTTTGTATTTTCTTTCATGTTGGGACCTATATATAGGTCATTTCTATTGTAATGAGGTTAATGAATATTTGAATGAAATTTGTGTTTTGTTTCTACTTCTTCCTGCATGAGAGCTAGAGAAGGGAGAGAGCTCAAAGGGAGCAAATCGCAAGGCCCACCAGTCGTTGGAAGAGTCCGCGGCTCGTGGTTAAGTTATTCTATCTTCTCGTTTGTGTTTTCCTCCAACCACTTCCCCTCCACCACAAGAAAATTCATTCAAAATCCTTGGGTTGAAACCGAGCCTAGCCTTTGCCGCCGCCTCCTTGGAAGCCAGCCGCCGGCCACTCCCACGGCACCGGCCGGCCACCTTGCCGGCGACCTCCCCACACCCGTCCAACCCATCTCTCCGCAAGTTTCCAAATTTGAAATTTGAATTTCAAATTTCAAATCCTTTCCTAATTTGGAATTCCAATTTTGGAAAGTTTCCATGATAAATTCCAATTTCAAATTAATTTAAATCGGAGTCTTTAAATTCTATTTCCATATCATCACTCCAAATTGGAAACCCTCTCCTCTCTCTTCCCATTAATCTCTCTCTCTTCCCCTCTATACGCCGCCGGCCCTATGAGGCTCTTCCCTCATTGATTGCTCCATTAAGCCCCTCCCTCATTTGAAATTAAAACTTAATTTCAAATACTTCTCCCTCCAAATTTCATAAATCCTGAAATTAAATTTTAGGATTTGTTTTCAAAACCCCTCCCCTCTCTCTAGAAACCGCCGGCCCCCTCCCTTGGCTCCTCCCATTAAAGGCATTAATTCCTATGATTTGAAATTTTAAAATTCAAATAAATTCCCTCCTAATTAATCAAATCTGAGATTAAAATTCAGATTTGGTTAAATCCCTAAACATTCCACTAAACCTAATTGCCCCTAACCCTAGCCCTCTCCCCCTTGAACCCGCCGGCCCCCTTCCCCTTGGAAATCCCGCCGCCCCTCTCTTCTTCCCCTTCCTTCTTCTCAATCTACAAGTGCTCTCTCTCACCACCACATATTTCCTCTCTTCTCATTGGAGTTCTCTCCAACGTCAAGCATGCATGGCGGATCCTGAATTTGAGTGGGGACTTGTGTTCGACGCCGACGGAAGTCTCAACATCCTACGGTCTCCGTTCTTCGACGTGGGATTTGAAGACGATGCCACCGTTGGAGATTATTTGGATTGAGTTGTACCTACTCTTGCGAGCGTCATCGATCGCCAACTTCCAAACTACGATTGGAGCCTCGACAGTCAACCATTCCCGCCATCCTCGCCACCGTCAACCTTTCCGTGGCTCAAGGCCGTTGGGGTTGCTAATGTCCTCGTGGCATCATTGAGTATGCTAAAGACCTTCCGCTCAGCCCTACTTGAGTGTGAGTTAGCAAGATAACTCATTGTGAATTTTCTAAACATTAGCCGTGGGATTATATTTTACTCTGCATTTGTCTTATTGTGAGAATTTCAAGATCTATCGCCAATTGTGCCCAAACATCAAGATTGTAATTGCTTATCATAATAATTTTGACAATTGAAAACTATTGAACCTCACCTCACGATACCTTAATCTTAAAATTGGCACACTTTGTGATTCTTTATAAATTTCACGTGCAATTCTTGATTGTTTCACGTCACATGGCCTGTAAATAGGTGAGATATCAAGGGTAAATGGGGAGTGGTTGGATGGATGGCCAATAATGAACCCCTTGATCATGGATCGTTCGTCAGGCATTTGGAGGCCTTAATGATTTTGGAATTCAGTGATCTTGGGCTCGTTGGGCTTGTTGGATTCGTCTCGTCGAGCCACTCGATTTGACTATAAGCTCGTCATATTTGGAAACCGTTTGGTAACTCAAACAGTGGTACGAAGCTTCCAACAGCGCTTCGGGTCCTTGATTTGGGCTCATTTGGGCTCGGATTGAGTCGAATTTGGTGTCATTGGATTCGTATTTCCGAGACGCTCAGTTTGACTATAAGTTTGTTGAAATCGGAGTTGAGATGGTCTCTGAATTAATTTTAGAAGTTTCCAACTCGATTTTGCATCGAGATTCGTGCCCGATCAAGATAATTTTTTGATGGCGTATCACATGTAAAAATTAAATTTAATCTATATATTAATAAATTTCTTCTTCCTTTTTTATACTTATGTAGTGAATGACAATTCTTCGGGTGTTTTGCAAGCCTCGTTTTTTTCATGTGGAATCTTAATTTTAACAATTTTATATTGAGAAAGGATCAAAATGGTTCCTTGATTCTTTATGAAGAACCAAATGATTTCTCTTTAATATAGTTGGGGACTATTTTTGTCCTTCTTATAGAGTGAACAAACCATTTTGATCATTTTCTCAAATTATATTATTGTTTGGAGTAAATTAAATGCGTTTTCTTATTTCACATTAAAAATGATAAATCTTTATCGATATTACAAGTTGAGATATTAGGAATTTTGATCTTTGGTATGTTTCTTTGTGCATATCATCCTAAATTTGTATTAGTAAGCCTTCGACTCTAAAACTTCTTACATCAGCCTATAAAGAAAAGAATTATAAGTTTCCCAAAAATATTCATTTAAAATTGAAGCAGCCCAAATTGAAATGGATCACGAGGAGGAATTATAAAGTAGATAAAAGTAGTTATCATAGAATTTGTGGTGAGTATGATGATGAATTAGTTCATTTTCTGGCTATTGTTCTGAATACTTTATGCACATCGTGCTCCAAATATAATTTTGAAGTCCTTTGACAATGTCCAACCTCAGTCTGATTTCTTTCTTGTGGGAATGAGCAGGTATGAGTTGTTTGTTGGTCAGCCACCATTTTACACAAACTCAGTGTATGCACTTATTCGACAAATTGTGAAGGTCCATCTGTTTCTATATCTTTGAGTTCCATTCAAATACCAGAAGTTGATCTAGAAAATATGATATACACTTTTTTAGTACTTGTAACAGGATCCCGTGAAATTTCCAGAGGATATGGGCTCACATTTTAGGAGTTTCTTGAAGGGCTTACTTAACAAGGTTATTCTTTTATATATTCTTTCAATGGTTTGCATGAATCCATTTTCCGATCATAGTGTCTATCAGTTGTAAATTGGTTGTAACAGGTACCAGAGAAAAGGCTATCTTGGCCGGCTCTATTGGAGCACCCATTTGTCAAAGAAATTTCAGAGGATAATTCAGCCTTGGTGAGTTCTGCCTTTGAGCAAATTAAATCTTAAGCAATAGCTAGTTTCACGTCAAGTAACTATTGTTTTGATCCTGCTTTGAATGCAGTTTATTTGCTTGTGAATTTACATTAGGAAGTGCAGGGGCTTGCTAATGTCTCCAGCAAGGGATTTGATGTCACCTGCAGTAGAGAAGAAAAAAACTGCATTCCTGATTTAGCATCTGAATCTGCTTCCAATAATACTTGTGATGATTTTCTTGATTATTTCATCGATTTCTTTATGTTGGAAACACTTTTTCTGGACTTTGAATTTACCTCATAATTTGTAATAGGTAAGGGGAACTCTTCTCATCTTGAATGTGACAAAAATGAGAACCTCTGCTCCGATGTCCATGTAGACAGCCCTGGTCTAGCTAAAAATAGTCAATATGATGAATCTTCATCATGTCATCGTTCTCCTGAAAATTCTCCATCAGGTATTGCTCTCTTTCATGCATCAAAAGATTGCAAAGTTTCACAATGAAGGCCATTTTATAATCCATGTCAGTACCTACTTAGTGACATTGAAGATTCAGTATTTGACTGCCAGAGTACTTGTTTGGCTCTTTCCCTGACTTCAGATGGAAACAATGAAATATGTACTTGACATGCAGTCATATATAATAAAACACAGGCTGATGTCAAGGAATAAAAGCTAATAATTTCCATAAATGAGATTGAAAATGTCAGTGCTTTCTGCTTGCTGATTTTTTTTTTAAATTTTCTTTTGCTTTCCCCTTCCTTTTTTTTAACCTTTTTTTTGTTTTCTTGTTCTAATTTCTCATCCAACCCTTACCCCTATGTGCAAGCTGGTACCACCAGCAACAGAAGCACCACCAGACACAATGAAAGTTTCTTTTGGCTATGATGCCACTCACGTTGGTTTCCTTTTTCTGCTTTTGGATTTGCATCCTTTGTGCAGCGTTAGATATTTGTACTGTCAATTGCTTGCTCTGTCCGCCACTACTTGGTCTTTTGTGGTTGAGACAAATCACGAATCATGCCTACTAATAGTTTCTTAAAGAAACACAGCACTTTATGGAACAAAATTTTGAAAGAAAACTAGAACTACCGCAAAGTGTCTGTACCAGGAAAAAAATCCACACTCAGACTAGATACTGACGAGTTGCTTATCATTTCCCTTTGATGTACAAACATGGAGACGGCAACATGAATACGACACAACACGGACACGGAACACGTCAATTATTAAAAATATAGGACACAGACACGGGTTGGACACGGTATTATAATTTTTTATATTTTAAAAATAGTGTATAAAAATTAAATAAGTATAATATTAAAAATAATTTAGAAATAATAAGTCATTTAACTAGAATTTGTGTTTAAAATAATTAATATTAGGATGTAGAGAATTCGGCATCGATGTTATGCAGTAAATATTGGGTGTCGATGTCAAGAAGACATTTGTCATCGATGTTGAAAGGGCATTGGTCGTCGATGTTAAGATGATGTCGAACAAAGATCAGTTGTCAAGTTGTGAGTGTAGAAATTGTTAACGCAGAGTATCAATGTTAAGACAATATTAAACTTTAATGTTGAGATGATTTTGAAATATCAATGTTGTAACGACGTCAGACGAATATCTACGGCCATGATTAGACTATTTTATTTTTGAGCTTTTAGTTGTTTTTGATTTATTTATGTATCTTTTCCATTTTTACTCTCACTTGAGAGAGTAGGCTTATATGACCCTAGGGGGCACTTTTGTCATTAGACGTGTCATTGTATTTTGGCTATTTAATTGCCTCTCCTCCTCTTTGGAGAGTATGATGATTATAATGAAATGAAAAATTCTGCACTTTGTTTTCTTGGATAGTTGTGAGTTCTTGTGAGAATCGGAAGTCCCGTTTTCAGGCTCGTGGTTCATCTCCACCTCAAATTCGCTTGCTTTCTTCCCTTGCTCGTGGTTCAATCCATCCCAAAGTAATTTTGCTGATTGCTTAAATTAATTTCAGATTTCCTAATTGCTCTCTCCATTACCATATATCCACAAAATCTAAAATTAGAAATCATGCTCCTCCCCTCCCTTGGATGGCCGGCTATATCCTCACTCCTAAAATGTTCGTCCTAACTTGTTCTTTCTCTTGAGAAAGGAAGACGGGAGCCCTCCTCCCTTGGCCAGCTACATCCCATCCCTTACCTCCATCACGACTCCTGACTTATTATCAAGACTTTTTCAGTGCAAGGAGAAATCCCAACAACTCGACTGCCGATATGAGAAACGACGGAACAAATATCAAGAACATGAGAACGATAAACTCTTTCCCTAACCCTATATTTCAACTCTTCCTCAATCATGGCATCATTAGTTATGAAGAATTATCCGCTTAAGCCGTATTGAGAGTTTGAGTGAGTGGATCTTTCATAGTGACTATTCTAATTGTTAAGTTAGGGATTCTCTTTGAAAACCGCACATTAGCATGGTATGATTTGATTTGATTATTTTGTGCTCCTAACATTATTATGTAATTGATTACTGATCTTAATCACCGTCTTTTTGGCTTAAATCTTTGCTAAGAACATAAGAAGGTGATAAATTTCAAAGCTCTGTTTATGTATGTGTAATTTTCTTATCCACAGCATTTGCCTATACATTAGTCCTACATCTGGATTGCTTTGATTCATTTCAGTTTTGCTATCTTTTGAAAATTCTCTTCTAATTTCAGAATACCAAATTTTGGATAAGCTGGAGAATAACTCAAAAACCATCAAAGGGGCAAGTATTATTGGTCAAGACAATGAGGCATTATCTGTCATTTTGCTTCCATTGAAGACTTGCTCGAGTGGATCTCCTACATCTTTAAGGTAAATCGGTATATGATTTTGAAAGCATCAAAAGAAAGTTGTCACCATATTTTTGATCGCCATGGGTAAATACGTTTTTTTCTCATATGTTGGAAAATGTTGGTAACCTGTGCTAATAGCAGTACGCGATTTAACGCAACGAATGAAAAATTACATTGCTTCTGATGGTTCTTCTGATAAATAAGTGTAAAAGATAGATCTTCTGGAGTGCCAAATGATTTCATATGTGAGTTTATAACTATAGGATTTCATTTACATTTCAAATCATGCCAATGAAGTTTGTTTAAGTTTAACACTCAACCTGCAGGACATAAATGCAAAAATGATTGGAATAAAAAATTAGCACATTTTAAATTTATAAAATAGTAATAAGCAAAACTTTTGTTGATTTTAAATGATAAGACAAAACCATAAGGCGGTAAAACGAGTTTAGGCCAAATCAGATGCGTAGGAGTTGAGATCCTAAAATAGTCAATTAATCTAACGTTGCATACATGGAAGGTTTTCAACAAAAATCCCTATGCTAACAATAAGATTAGTCACTATGCAAGGATCCCTCATGTAGCTCTCTAATTCACTAGGCTTTTAGCGGAGAAAATTATCATGATCGTTGTGAGTCAATCTAAAACCACAATTGAAAGTGACTAGGAAGATAGCCGAGTAGAGGAAGAGTTTACCCAAAGGAGAAGCAATACGAACCTTCAGTGCGGATGTTTGGGTGCTTGAAAGGTAGTAGACTGCAATTCACAACTCCTAGCTTTCTTAGGACAAGCAATTTGATGATCTATGGATGGTGGGCAGCAAACTAATCTCGACTGGCGTCTTTGGTCGGCAACCTGAATCTTCCGGGCAGCATATGGTGATCTCCAAGTTGCGGGACAACTTGCCGACACTGTCCAGAAATTCTGGACAACAATGCGACAACCCTAGAACTAGGGTTGGGATGGCTTCAGGAGCAAGGAGGGGAGGGGAAGGTGATGGCCGACCAATGCTAGGGAAAGTAGCTTCTTTTCAAGAGAGAAAATTGAAATTATATTTCTGATTTGACCAGTAAAGATGGGGTATTTGAAATTTGAATTTCAAATAAATAATGGAGAGAATTAATACAAACTTTCCCCTAATTAATCTTTTAATTTAAAAAGGATTTATTGGGGATTTGGAGAGAGGAAGGGGCGGGTAGGGGAGAGGGAAAACTTTGAATTCTTCCCAAAGAAAGAGGCTTGATATTTGGAAAGTATTCAAGTAGGGGACATGCATGGGGGGCCGGCGGCGTGTATGGTTTGGGGGCTTGGGGAGGAGTTATGGCTTACCAAATCAAGACCCTTTAATCGGGAAAGAGAAATTAAATCCAATTCAATTTGAATTTGATTTGGGCTTAATTTATGGGACTTTCTATTTTAGGAAATATTTCAAATTTTAAAATTGATTGACAATTTGAAATTTAGTCTCTCCAAAGTGGGAGTTATGCAAAAGGAAAGCATTGATGAGGTGTGAGATGTGAAGGGAAGGGAATTAGGGTTTGGAGGGTGGCGGCTAGGGCAATTAGTCACTTCCAATGATTTAAACGATGAATGAAAATAATAAATCAATGTTTTAGTTTAAGCAATATATTATATGATAAAGATTTAGAGCACAAAATAACCAATCAAATTGGATTTTACTTAATGTGGGTTTTTGGAAAGAAATTCCTTAATTAACATTTAAAATAGTCACTATTTAAGATCCCTCACTCTCACTCTTAATAACTGGTTAAGCAGAGAAAACTTGCATAATTTTTATAATGCCACAATTGAGAGAGACTTGGAAGAAATAAGATTTGGGAAAGAGTTCAACTTTGCCCGGATTCAGAAGAAAGTTGTCATTGAACGAGAGATTGACATTTATCAATAGTGGTTTCAAGGGAGAAGATGATTCATTCCATGTACTCTTCAACGGAGTGGTCGTTCTAAGGTTTATGTCTAAGAACGAAGACCAGAGAATGCCAATTAACCTTGATCGTTGAAAACGAAGACGTGATTATGTTCTGAATCAGCCATACATGAGGGGCAACAAACTATGGATTGGGGAACTTCTGGACATCAAACAAAGGACTTCTGAACGACGACACAACAAACGACATTTGCTGAAATTTCTGGACTGCAATTTTTATTTGTCCAGGAAATCTAGACAGCAGTTTTGCGAGGTGGAGATTCTTCCGAATCGATGTTCGGTGGAAGGTAATAAGGACTAATTCCCAGTAGAGAGGGGGAGGTAGTGGGGGCAGACCATAAAGGAAGGAGAGGGGATGTAGCTCTGAATTTTGTGTGTTGATAAAGGGAGGAAGACAATTCAAAATCTAAAATTTAATTTCAAATTTTAATATTTGGAGAGGGAAAAGTTTGAATTTGAATTCTCCACCAAGAGGGAAAGGATGGGGGGGGGGTGGCTATGCCTAGGATAGGGAGGGGTTTGGGGATGAGACTTGCCAAATCTTGTCTTCACTTGTTAAGGAAATAGGATTTAAATCCCTAATACTCAATTAAATTTAAATTGCTATGTTGGCGAACTTCACAATATTACTCGTCTCTTTAAATAGGAAGAGATTTAGGATTTGAATTAAATTGGGATTTAATTCAATGACTGTCCAAAATTATTAGACACTATATTTGGAAAGTATTTAGGTGTTTGAAAATTAGGGTTCCAAAGGAGGGGTGTGGCCGGCGGCTAGGGGAAGGATGTGGGGCTTGGGCCGGCAGCTTGGAGGGGAAGAAGAGGTTGGGGGACCGACGACTTGAAGGAGGTGGGGTTTTCTGGGCTGGCGGCTAGGAGGAAAGAATGGGTTCGTCTAGTGTTTTGGTGGAGTTTGGCCAACTGAGAAAGATGGGACATGGTGGCTGGCGGTTTAGGGTGAAGAAAGGAGAGGAGGTTGGTGGAAGAGGTGGACTCTAAGTTCGAATAGGTTTATAGACCTAAAGATTTTCCCCAAGGCTAACTAAGAGGGGGATGAATTGGTAATTTCAAAATTCTCTTAGAAATTTAGAAAATCAATTTTAGATTTAATCACAATGACATTTTCATAAAATAATTTTTTCAACCACAAAATTAAAACTTGCAGAAAATAGAAATGCAGTAAAAGTAAAGACAGAAAAACACAGAATTTTATAATGGTTCGATCCAACTAGACTTACGTCCACTCCCTGAAGACTCCCTCTTCAGGTATTGCACTATACCAAAATGACTCTCCTTTTGCTCCCACAGCAAAGCGGAGAAGCCCTTACAATAACCTCTCTTTCACCAAACCCCGGTACGACAGAGTGTCGTCATCTTTTCTCACCCTCCTGGTGACAGCAGAGAACCGGCATCCTTTCACACCCTCTTGGTGTTGGCAGAGTACCGACGTCCTTTCACACCCTCTTGGTGTCGGCAGAGTACCGGCGTCCTTTCACACCCTCCTAGTGTCGGCAGAGTACCAACGTCCTTTCTCACCCTTCTAGTGACGGCAGAGAACCGGCATCCTTTCACACCCTTCTGGTGTCGGCAGAGTATTGGATCTTCTCCAAAGATCTCTCAAGAGTCCTCAAAGAAGTAGGGAAGAGATTTGACAAACTTATAATTAAAGAGATCTTCACCTTTGGGTATTCTTGTGAACCCTTCACAAATTCCACAAGCAAGATATCTCAATCTACTGCCAAACACTCTCATTAAACACTCTCACTCTAACTCTAAAAAAAAATAGCTAAAGAAGTCTGTTCAGTTAGTTTTTAGGACCCTTATATAGAAAGGACAAGAAAAATCATCCAGAAAACTGAAAATTTCAATTTGACCGTCTTGGATCGTACAGTACGATCCTACTTCGTACGTACGAACAGTTCAAAAAATCCTTGTACGATCCTGAATGATCTAGTTTTGTACTCTGTCAGTCGTATGCACAAACTGACATCGTATAGAATGAAGAGTTCAGAATTGAACAAGTTTGTCCGGTACGATTTCGTACGAATCCATTTCATACTATGATCGTCATTTGTTCGAACCCCGCATCGTACATAAGAACTGTTTAAATCAAATCATGCTTTGTATGGTATGAACATGGACGAGCCCATTTTATACTCTGGACGTCATCTGCACGAAAATAATTTTGTACAACACGAACAAGTCAAAACATTTTCATGTTCGTATGGACGAACTAATATGCACCCATTTCGTACTCTGGACGTTGTCTGTACGAAACTAATTTCGTGCAGTAAAATCAATTAAAAAATGGTAAGTTCATTTGGGACGAACTGGTATGTATTCATTTCGTACTCTAGACGTCGTCTGTACGAATCTAACTTCGCACAGTACGAACAGTTCAATCGAAAAATTCTAAGGCATGATTCGATTAACTTTTTTATGGAGGAACACTCAGGTCAAATCATCTCGTACGATTCCAGAATCGTATAGTAACGATTAGTTTTAAAAATACAAGTTTTGACTCACTCCCCTAGTGTGTGTGCACAGTTTTCGAATTATAATCACACACTCTCTGACTCAAGAAAAAGAGGAAAAATATAGAATTTAATTACAAGAAACCTTAATCTAAACTGTCTATAAGTCTTCGGCAGTCTGAAGTATGATTTCCATGAAATATTAGTACACACAAACGAAACAAACAAGATTTTTCCAATGTGTTAAGAGAAATAGTAATCAACACAATAATATTTTGGTATCATCAAAAACTCATATGATATAAAAGCATAGATTTGAAAACTAAGTCGCAACATGGACCACGAGCCCGGATGCTTCCTGCGGCTGGTGGGTGATACGTTGCCCTCACTTAAGGACTTAGAACACTAACAAGAGCTCTCAAACTCACCAAAACACAAATGTAGGAAATTTTCTTAATAATATTCATCATCTCCTCGAAAGGAAGAGGAGGGGGTTTTAAATAGCCAAAATACAATAGCAAGATAAAAGACAAAAAGTGCCCCTAAGGGTCACAAACAACTACTCCATCAAATGAGGGTAAAAACAAAAAAACTGCGATAATAAATCAAATACACATATAATAATAATAAACTTAATACAAAATTACAAATGATAGCTCAAAAATAAAGTGGTGTGATTGTGGCTGTTGATCGTCGGCCCCTTTTCTTGTAGACTCTCCATGGTCGGATGTCCTCATCAAGTCCCTACGAGTTTAATTCCTTACAAGGCCAGATTTCATTTGTTTAATGATTCTTATCAAATTTGTTTGTTGAAGGTTAATGGGAGGGATAATTAATCATATCAGCATACGCCTATGGGAAACATGGAACCAACTCATAAAGTCATTACAAAATGGGGGTTAATATTTGGGTTGTGTCTTATTTGCTATCTAAGCTTCTTTTAAAAATATGACCCAAAACCACAAACTCTCTTAGAGGAGCTGGGTTTGAACTTTTGGAGCCCACACCAAAAACCACCTCCCAAACAAGCCCAAGGTAATAAATCTAGTGCCATTGTCTAAGGAAAATCTTCCAATGTCTACCGCTTACATCAACTACATATAAGAACATAACCAACAAAACCACACAATCATCCTAATGCAGCCATCTTAATTCTTTTGAGAACTTAACCTAAATTATATAATGGTTAACACCATCCCATATCATATTAACTTACATGAAAATTTGAAATGCAATACATCCCTTTGTATTTTTGTATGTGTGTATCTTCATGTTTGTGTGTGTGAAGTAATGGCATATAAGATTAGAGAGTCATCTTAGATGGTTTGGTCACATAAAATGGCAGCCTTCCGATGACCCGATTAGGAGAGTAGATGTATTAAATTTGGCCTATGTTAAGAAAGGTAAAGGTAGATCTAAGTAGACTTGGTTATAAAATATTAGAAATGACTTTTTTTTAAGATTTAAATGAGAATTTGACTCTTAACATGGCACAATGGAGAAAAAGGATTCATGTAACCGACCCCATATAGTGGGATAAAGGCTTGTTGTTGTTGTTGTTGTTGTTGTTGTTGTGTGTGAAGTAATATAATGAGATGGGCATTGAAAAGTAGATAAGATGCCTCAATTGTGAACTTTTCAATGTATGGTTAGTCTGAATAATTGTGGCCCATATAAGACAGATATTTATGCGTTTTAAGAGAGAGGTGTTGATGAGCGCTTATTTTCTTCTTTGAACTGTGAGAAGGATGAGAGGGAGAAAGTTTGGTAGGAAGATAAAAATCTTGTAAAGTGTGAAAAATTGATCTAGTACTCTAATTTTCTAGAGTCTTGGTTGTTAGGTTATTTAATTTTCGGAAGTCTTGGTTGTTAGATCAACGAGAGAGGGAGAAGGATTTAATGTGTTCGTTGAAGGGATTTTACCCAAAGGAGTTAGTAAGGTACTCTTTCGAGAGAGAGATAGAGCTCGAGTTAGTAACAAAATCCTGTTAAAATTTAATATTAAATTAAAATGTTGTTTTTAAGCCTAAACTTTGAAAACATAGCGAAGTTCATTCTCAGTTGTTCGTTTGTTTTTATTTCTAAATGTTTGGTAATGTATCCATCTATACAGGTCACAAGGCAGAAAAGGCTCGTTCTGGAAATTCATTTAATAATAATTCATTTGTGAATGGTTATCATATAAAACGCATTTGAAATCTAAGTAGGTCCTTGCGCTAGCTTATTTATTGACATCCCATAGTTCTTATTTTTGTTGTACTTATGCATTGTTTATAGGTCACTGATCTTCATGTATGTTTGTCCCTATTGAATATTGACAGGGATTTAAATATTGATTACGTAAACCAGTCAATCAGAATTATCTCCAATTTAATAGCAGCTGGAGTGCAGCAGTCTTCTGCCGCGCTTGATGACATTTTAAGTGTGCTACTTGACTTTACAAATTTCATTGTCAAACTGAAGCTTTCTGACGCCCATGGATTAATAATAAAGGTACCCACAAATTTAAGATAAATGTGTTTGTTTCCTCTGAATCTCGTTTTCTTTCTATGTTTATTAATTATTTAATTAGTTGAAAAATCCGGTGCTTTGATGAACTTTCACTAGGGTAAAGTGCTGCCAGCTTCATGAGCATCCGCCCACTTTCATCCATGTAATGTTGAATAGGCTAACCTACATGCTTTTAATGCAGAGCCTATCAATTTTAAAAAAGTTATTGGATAACAATGGAAGCGGAGTCAGAAGTTCTTATGCTAGACATTGGGTTGCCCTCAGCAGACTATATTCACAGGTAACTCCTTGCTATCTAGAGCAATTGAATCAGCAGTGCATTTTTTTTCATACATTCCTCATCGAAGCAGATTTTGATCATAGTCAAGGACACATCTGGAAGAATTTTCTACGAGTCTACTGCCTGCATTGCAATAATGTTATCTCGAGTTGCTTTGGGATTTAAAAAATCAGAGGCAATTGACGTTCCTGAGAAGGTTTCTGCTACGTTTTCTCAAGAGGAAATTCTCATTCAAATAGTTGATAATGCCCGAACTTCAGGAATTGTGGAGGCTTTGTGTGAATGTTTAGTAGTTTCAGGATCTAGTCTTATGTCAGGATCTTCAAATATGGTGCCTGCTGCATGTGAAGCTTGCAAGGCTATTTGGTATCTGGTTGAAGCATTGGAGATTAATTCAATGAGTCCACCAAGTTATTTTTTTCCATTGAATGATTCTCGTTCTAAGTCTGTGTTCCAAAATGATATGCAGACGGAAAAACAAGGCTTATTATCTCATACAGAAGCAGCTAATGTGATTGAAATGATCAGGAAATGGTTCCTTCAGTCAAAAGCTATGCAGACTGCCTTTTATTATTGTTTCCACAATGGTTTAGAGTCGGCTCTTCTTGCTGGTCTTCAGGTGACTTTATTTTCTTACGTTGGCCTTCCCTCTAGTCATAAGCGCATATGGAGAATATGGTTCTTTTTGTAGTGTTTTACAAGGATTCATATTTTTCATAACCCTTCATCAGGTGCACTACATGTTGTTGAAAGTATCCTATTATATTCCCGCTTTTCTCTTTCTATCTCCTATCTCAAAGAAATTCTTACTTCCACGTTGGAATCTTGCCCATAACCACGATGAAGTCAATTTCCTCATCTTTAATGGAGAGCTGCACTATGTGGGAGAGGCTTACATGGAGTAGAGGAAGTGACTGGGATGGGTTTTCATGACAGGGAGATCTTGTTTCTCCTGAAGGGGAATTGTGGCACTGTGCTTTAGAAGTTGGCTATTTTTTCCATTGGTTTTTTCCCCTCTGTTTTCTTTTTTTCCGATTTTCATGTTCTTTGAAATATTTTTTTATTGGTTTTCCAGGGAAATGAAATATAGCAGCTGAAACTGGTAATAGTAGGAAGAACATTTCCTAGCTTGTTTCTAGGTTGTGATTTCTCTCCAAACCTAGTGAGCATCTCCAAGGATGGGCATTTTTCTTTTTTTTGCTCTCTCATGTTTTTCTTGATTAGAGATTAGTAAGAGTATCAATTCCTCTAAAGGCTTATACTAGTTTTTTTTTTCTTTTTTAAAATGCACTTAGAAAGAGACCCTTGTAGGCTGAAGGATTGTTAGCCTTTGATGTTCTGCTGATGTAGATCCATGGTGAGGAGGAAAAGGAAATAGATGGGTCTAGGGAAAACATGAGTGGTGAGGAAATAGATTGGTCAAGGGAGGACATGAGTGGTGAGGCATCTTAGAGAGAGAGAGAGAAAGAGAGATTTTGTAATTTGATAAAGGCGTTTGATATACAAATGGAGAAGGGTGATCATACATATGTAGAGATAAATGAGAGTTGTAGTGATGATGATAGTGAAGATGGAGATTATGAGTGTATTGAATTATATGACTGAAGAATTTCATGACAGTGATTATCAGATGCAAGAATATAATAATTTGTTTGAAAATAATCTAGATCATTACGTTGATTTGCAGAGACTTAGGATAAACAAAAATAGACCATTTAATTTTTTTGATGGATATTCTACTAAAATTTTAAAGGGACAAGAAATGTCTTTTTTTGTAATTACAAAAACTGGAAGATGATCAAAGACTAACGGAAATATTGTCTTTTGTAATGGCAAAAACTACTTCATTTGGTTGTTTGATAATATACTTTTATTGAATAGATTGATTTTTTTTTGTGCGAGGAACTTATGGTTAGAAAATATTAGAAATGCCTTTTCTTTATTAGATTTAAATGAGATTTTAATTCTTAATAGGACACAATGGAAAAAAAATAGTCATGTAGCAAAGCCCACATGGTGGAATAAAGGCTTGATGATGTTGTTGTGAGGAACTTTTGCTAAGATGTATGAACTTCTCAAATGTCACACCACATTTTGACCTCCCCTTACAGTCAACCTGGAGTATAACAGAGAAGGAAAATCTAAACATACCCCTTCTTACTGACACTCATTTTGAACTGCTTCTATCAGAATCAAATGAGTAAAAAGTAATTCATTTAGGATTTCTTAATCTATTAAGTTTTATACTTAAGAACAAGAAGCATGTAATATACCTTAAATAAATCTCAAATATAATGCACATCTCCAAAGAAATTCAGAGCTTTGCTTAACTTTTAAAATTTACTTACATACTTAAAAGTGTTTGTATAGCTCATCTATTTGTACACTTCAAAGTATATGTACACAAAAAAGTTTAATCCCCTTTTTCTCTATTTGCCTATTGGCTTATTCCTCTTTCATGTAGTACAATCATTGCTAATATGCTAGGACTCAATAAATACGCAAGCAATGTATAAAAAATCAGAATGAACATAATGACAACTAATGTAAAACACATGTAAATTTCTATATTAAATATAAGAAATACGTAACATCGCTTTCTGTTTTGTTTAGTGCTCAACATCTTTATATAAGTCATAGGATTACTATAAACTTTTGCACCCTTCCAATTTTCCAATTCAAGGTTTGGTCCAAATTCCCAACTTTTAGAATTGAAGCTACTCTCTCATTCAAGGATGGGTCTGAATTCCTAACTTTTAGAATTTTGAGAGTGAACTTACCTCGTCAACTCCTTCGACTTTGCTTGCATGGGCATATCTCACATATATGACTTATTTTGCTTTCCTAATATCATTTCTTTTTAACCATCATAACATATGTTATTGTAGTCATTACTCTATGAATCAACATATTCTTACATGTTCATACATGAATAAACTGAAATAAGTCCTATTGTAAACTGAAATTGTGTTAATGCTAGGGCGTCCCCTGGAAGCGACGCGCTGTATGGCCTGAATACAGTGACAAGTGTGCAAGGGCCGCTGCACCGGCGCCCGGGTGCAGTGTTAAATAGGCAAGGGTTCCCACGTTGTTGTTGTAAATATAGCAAATATGAATTTGCAATTAGATAAAACTTTTACCAATTCGTATAGCATCGTTTGGGTATCTCAGCTCATTTTTCCGATTAGTCGGATGAACTGGTTCACCTAAAGTACTCCGACTCTTTTTCCTTTTATATACCATCTCAATTACACTCTTCTTCATTCAATCCAACCCCCTTTACTCTCTTCCCTGATTTCTAAAATTAGTTGTAGCAACTTTCAGCCCCTCCACATGTTGCCTCCAGCAATTTCCAGAGAACAAAAAGACTTATGGGTGACAGGAATGAAGGGAAACTACACACATCAACTGCTTTCCAGTAATTTCAGCAGCCCAACAGCAAACTACAGGAGTTCAACATCAAATTACAGCAGTCCTTTACCTATTTTTCCTTCACTATTTCCTGAATTCAGCATTTAGCAGCAGCAGTCTTTCTTTTTTTTTTTGAAAGATGCAAAGATGCATTAAAAATAAAATAAGCAAAGATACAAACTAACGTGAGACTGCTATACTATCACATTCTTCTTTTAATAAATCAATAAAAGAAGACGGAAGATAGCTCTCACCAAAAAAGTCCCAAATAAAATCATAAGAACAAGTACGTTAGCACAATAATCGGCTAACTTATTACAATTACGATTAACCCAATGAAAGAAAACATTATTGAACTCACCAAGGAAAGAGAAGTCTTCTTCTTCCATGCTCCAACCCTTCATCTTCGGTTTGCTATACAGCTTATGAAGAAAAAGGATGACATTCTTATTATCACCTTCCACAATAATGCCTTTGACATCTTGCAGCCTACCGTGCAATACTTCTTTGATAGCTGAGAAAGCCAAGAGCTCAAGTTGAGCAATGTCCCAATGCACCTTACTTTTACCAAAGGCTAAGATAAATCTACCTTTACAATCTCTTACAATACCACCAATGCCTGCTATATAATTATCTTTTAAGGAAGCATCAAAGTTTATTTTGATCCACTCGGGAGGAGGAGGTTGTCATTTGTCTGTACATAGTCCAAAGGACTGATTAACAACCCAGTGATCCGAAAGTGGAGAGCTTAGTTTAGCAGATCCAAGAAAAGCAAGAGTTGAAGCAGCGATTATGATGTTACTGTCACTGGATTTTCCATGCTTAACCTTGTTTCTATTATTCCATATAAACCAAAGCAGCGTCAGGTAGATCCTAACTAACATTATATTTGAATTCTTTAATCTCCTAAGACAAAGCAAGCAATCATCCCAATTCCTAAAAATTGGAATCTGGAATCCCCAGCTCCTTAAAATTTCAAGAACCTTCAAAAGTTTAGAACAAGTAGAAGAAACATGGTTCACATCTTCAATTTCAGCACAGCCCCAAGGACACAAGCTAGAACCCGATAATCTCCTCTTGAATAGAAAAAATTTTGTTGGAATGGCGTCTCTGTACAGCCTCCAAATGAAGAGTTCTACCCGGGCATTCAATTTCACTTTATATAACCAAGAAGCTAGATCATCATTTTGATAGCCTTTGAAACAATCCTCCACTAGTAATGCAGCAATAGATTTTCTTGTCAATTGCAGCTTCAGCTCCATACAGTCAAATTGAGAGTTCTGTGCAATTTGAATATTGCAAATCATCTTCAACAAGTCTCCACCAAAGTGCAAGCTCAATTTATCAACGTCCCAACTACCCTCAAGAATGAAGTAATCAAGGGTTGTATTCTCATCAACCAATACCCCAACAAACGTAGGCCATTTGTTTAAACTCAGATCCAAAATCCAAGTATCTTCTAACACATTGATCTTGGAACCATCACCCACCTTCCATCTAACAAAATTTCTAAGAGCTTTCCATCAACAACAACAACAACAACAACATCAAGCCTTTATCCCACTACGTGGGGTCGGCTACATGAATCCTTTTTCTCCATTGTGTCCTATTAAAAGCCAAATTCTCGTTTAAATCTAATAAAGAAAGGTCATTCATAATATTTTCTAACCAAGTCTTTTTAGGTCTACCCCTACCTTTCTTAACACAAGTCAAATCTAATACCTCTACTCTCCTAACTGGGTCGTCGGAAGGCCGCCTTTTTATGTGACCAAACCATCTAAGGCGACTCTCTCTAATCTTATCTTCTACTGGAGCTACTCCAACCTTTTCACGTATATGCTCATTTCGTATCCTATCTCTAAGGGTAAAGCCACTCATCCATCTAAGCATCCTCATCTCTGCCACACTTAACTTAGTATTATGCTTCTCTTTTAATGGCCAACATTCGGCACCATAAAGCATTGCAGGCCTCACTACCATCTTATAGAATTTTCCCTTAAGTTTGAGGGGTACATTTCTATCACATAACAAGCCCGATGCATTCCGCCACTTCAACCATCCAACTTGAATTCTGCTGATAATATCCCCATCTATTTCACCATCACTCTGAACAATAGATCCAAGATACCTAAAACGTGTACTCTTATTAATGACTTGATCGCCCAAAGTCACAATCCCCTCACTAGGACTATTACTGCTAAAATTACACTCCATATATTCCGTTTTAGATCTACTCAAGCGAAAACCTTTAGACTCTAAGGTTGACCTCCATAATTCAAGTTTACCTTCAACTCCCTCTCTAGTCTTATCAACAAGAAGAATATCATCAGCAAAAAGCATACACCAAGGTACATCATCTTGCAAATGTCTAGTGAGAACATCCATGACTAAAACAAAAAGATATGGGCTTAAGGCTGATCCTTGATGTAACCCAACCGAAATAGGGAAATACTTGGTCAAACCACCTTGTGTTTGAACACAAGTAATAGCTCCTGCATACATATCTTTAATGATTTGAATATAAGCATTATTAACTCCTTTCTTTTCAAGAACTCTCCATAGCACTTCTCTTGGAACTTTATCATATGCTTTTTATAAATCAATAAATATCATATGTAGATCCTCCTTATTTCCTCTATATTTTTCCATCAAACCTCTGAATAAATGTATGGCTTCCATAGTCGACCTACCCGACATGAATCCAAAGTGATTTTGAGAAGCATCAATATCACGCGGTAGCTATATATATATATATATATATATTTAAATGACTTCATGTAATATATCTTTTTCTTTTTATAAAAAATGATCTCATTCAACTGCATATATATTTTGTTTTCTCTTAAAAAATTAATTTGAATAAATGCAATACACAAATTTAAAACCATTAGCATTATGAAAGAACAAAAAAAATCAATTTCTTTCATTACAATGTATTTAAAATAAAACAAATTTGTTAAAGAAATTTATTAAAAAAAATAAACTTGATGGCACTTGCATACAAGCTTACTAGTTTCGCATGCGAAAATATGGTTAGTAGAAAATTAGATTTATTAAGAAGTTCAAATTTTTTTCCAAAAATACCCTTGCTTTTTAATACCATTGACTCCAACATCCTTTAGATGTTGGGACCATTTTGGTCCTTATTAAAAGTGTTAGAATTGAGATTTTTGTATAATATAGGAATTTTTTGATCTTTTAGAAATCGGGAGATCATTTTGATCATTCTCTCTCCCCATGTCCTTATGCGTAAAGTGGAAGATGGGTTGCCACAGTGGCCATGTAGGCTAGCTAGTGTGTAGACGGTTGTTCCCTTGTTAGCAAAGCCTCTTTTAGTTGGCGTTGTAAACATTGAGGATTATATCCATGGTTGGGACATGAAGGTGTATTTTATTCTGAAAAAAAATGGTGCATCATTCAATTTAGGACTTGTAAGCCATTTCACAAGCCAAATAAAAAAAAAACTGATATAGTTCATTGAAAAGGAATCCTGTGCTTTTTATGCCTTAATGAATTAACGTAGTTTCCCTGATACTTTTATTGTACTTGGTTCTTTTGGCCCACGTCTTCTCACTAAAATATTGTCTTTGTTGATCTTGCATTTTTTTGAGGTCATCTGACATATCAGATAGCGCATTAACTTAATTTCTCTAAGATTGTATGTTTAGTGTGGCTTTGTCCATGTCAGATGGAATACTCTTTATTTTCTATTTTTAGGGAATCTAGCTTTGTTTGATGAGGGAAAGGCTCCGTTTCAATTAATTTTATATGTTTTCTATGTGCAATATTTGACACATTAAAATCTCTTTTCAGCTTATATCAAGGATGTGTCTGCCAAATATTGATGTGTGCAATGTGCTTTGTGGCCTGCAAAATTCAAATAATAATGACAAGGTAGATGCTGGTGGGGACGGAACCATAATCTCTGACATATTCTCCTTATTGTCACTGTGTGCTCCTTACATCAATAATAATGAATCAAGAGAGGAACACAATAAGAAATGTAGACTTTCCAATCCGCATGGCATAGTTCTACATTGTTGCATTGCCTTGTCTTCCATCGCTTACTGCTTAAAGTCAGATGGAAAATTTTCAGCATCTTATATGCTTACAAGTTCCCAAAAGAAACAACGAATTCGTCTATCAGTGCTTGCACATCTATGTTCTTCTGATGATAGGGCCCTAGATTCAATTCAATTGCATTGTGCATCAGCCATGCTGGCTTTATCAGCAATTACTTGTCTTGAATGCGTCTGTGCTTCAAAATCGTCCATAAGTGAGGTAGCACTAACTTTACTTCCTCCGATGGCAACACTTCGTACCCATCTCAAACTTTGGTTAGCTGATGAAATGGGGATACAATTCAATGATATGTGGTCATTGATCTTGTGTCATGGCCTTAAGGATGGTTGTCTCGGGTTGTTGGATGCTAGATTGAAATGGGGTGGACCACTTGCCATGGAACAAGCATGTTCAAATGATATTCCACAACTTCTTATTTGTTTGTTAGCTCATGGCCCTAAGAAAGACCCTTCAGATATAAATAATGCTGCAAAGATTCATGCAGGTTTATCACCAATGGGAGTTGTATGGGCACTTTCTTCCCTGTGCCATTGCCTCCCCGGTGGTGTTTTTAGGGAGACATTGTTTAGGAGAGACCATGTGAAGCTCATTGTTGATCTCATATCTGATGCACATATTAAGTTATTAAGATGTTGGAGAGGGTTTGGTGGAGGAAATAATGGAGTTAGAGATCTTCTGAATTCAGTGGTAGATCTCTTTGCATTTCCCTTCATTGTTGTTCAGAGCTCCCCGAGTATGCCCCCAACTTCTGCATCCATAAATAGTGGCTACCTTCTGAACATCGATTCACCTGGTAGGAGAATGGGTGTCGAAAGTAGGGAAATGGTGAAGTCCATTGAGGCTAACATGTCTCATTATATTCAGATTCTTCTTGAGGTAAAACGCTACATTTGTTTTCCTACTGCTTGTCAAAATACTTCGGCTAACAAATTGTTTTCTTGCTAGGCTGGTGTTCCTTGCAGTATTCTTGGATGCTTGGATTTTATGGATTCCAAAGATCTAGCCAAGCCAGTAGCTTTTTTTGCTAAAATGGTTGCATATCGTCCCTTGGCATTGCAGCTTGTTAGAGAAGGTTTGTTGAGTTCAAATTTGGCTAAAAGGTTGCTTGGGGGATTGAGCCCTAAGGCAGTTATGCTTGACTTTCTCATGATTGTTTCTGACCTTGCTCGGATGTCGAAGGTAAATCTCCCACAGAGCGCCTTTATCTCTCATGTTTATGCTATAATTATAATTTGCTCATCCTAAGCACTTATCACAGAATAGGACAAGCCTTGCAGCAATTTGATGCCACACTTTTTAATATTTTACTTAACTTTACACTCGTGGAAGTGGTGGGCAGTTTTATTTTTCTGGAGTGAGGCTAATGACAAGCTTCATTGCAGGACTTCTATGAACCCATAGATAAGGCTTGTTTGCTTGGTCACTTGAAAGACTATTTATGCAGTGAGGATGCTGATTTACGTTCCAAAGCTTGCAGTGCCATTGGAAACATGTGTCGCCACAGTGACTACTTTTATAAATCTCTTGTGAGTGTCATTTTATACATCCACAAAGTCTTTTCAGTCGTCACAACTGACAAATTTTTTTTGTACCATATTTTTTCTAGGCGATGCATGAGATTGTGGATCTCCTTATTGATAGATGTTCTGATCCGGACAAACGTACTAGAAAGTTTGCCTGTTTTGCTGTAAGTGTCCTCCAGATCTGATTACTTGTTGGTTTAATTGTTTTGCACCTTTGGTGTATTGGCTTTTGTGGAAGAAATTATAATATAGTTAGAGATTTCCTTGGATGACCTTTATGTCTTCATATGGTTTTCGGCTTATTTATGATTCTATTGTCTTTGGTATACTTTTTTCTCTTAATACCCTTTGCTGATTGATTGTCTCTAGTTATCAAGGGTTTGGATTAAATGACAGGCATGAATAATAGCTTGTAAAAATGACTTTGATTTAACTAAAGTTAGTTTCTCATTTTCTTCAACTGGTATGGAGTTGCTAAATTTAACAAAGGTTGGCAATTAAACTATGAATCATAGTTTACTAATACTCTTTGATTTCTTCTCTCTAGGTTGGAAATGCTGCATACCACAGTGATGCTCTTTATGTTCAGCTGAGGAGATCTATACCTCAACTCACCAAGCTTCTGCTATCAACAGATGAAGATAAAACCAAAGGGAATGCAGCTGGCGCATTAAGCAATCTTGTGCGCAACTCCAACCTACTCTGCAAAGACATTGAGAAGGAGGGAGCAATACAGGTTTGTATTCTACTCTTTGTGCCACATATTGCCTTCTGATGACCCGGTTAGAAAAGTTGAGGTATTAGATTTGACTTATGTTAAGAAAGGTAGAGGTAGACTTAAAAAGACTTGGTTAGAAATTTTATTAATGACTTTTGATGACCCGATTAGAAAAGTTGAGGTATTAGATTTGACTTATGTTAAGAAAGGTAGAGGTAAATCTAAAAAGATTTGGTTAGAAAATATTAGAAATGATCTTTCTTTATTAGATTTAAATGAGAATTTGACTTTTAACAGCGCACAATGACAAAAAAGGATCATGTAGCCGTCCCCACATAGTGGGACAAATGCTTGATGTTATTGTTGTTGTTGTACTGTTGCTTAACTGTACTTTACATTTTGATAGTAAACATTTAATGGACTTTGAAAAAAAAAATGGTGGGTTTTAATTTCATGGAAACACAGTACCTGTTTGCTTTAGCGTTCAAGAAATCTTATGAATTTATTTATTTATTTGGATATGTTCATTTCTTTGCTTGTTATTGCATCCAACAAGACCTTTTTCTCAGGCTTTGATAAAGTTGGTGAGTGATTACTCCACTGTTGCGTTAAGCCCAAGCAGAAGAGATGCAATCACCGAATCACCTCTAAAGATCGTACTCTTTGCTTTGGGGAAAATGTGTGACCACACGATTTGCAGACGAGCGCTCCGATCATTAAATTCTGCTCCCCTCTTCACACAACTGAAACGCTCACCTGATTCAATTATTGCCGAGTATGCTTCAATCATTCTTACCAAATCATCTCAGGCTTGATGGGTAGGTTTTTATTTGAGGAATGCAATTTCTTTCTTGTCTACTTGCTATCACATGTACATATAAAACAAAATGTGCAGAACAATCAATTTTGATAGTTTGTTCTTGAGCTATTCATATTTTTTTGCCAGCGCCCTCCAAATTCATTAAAAGTTAGAAATGAGGCTTACTTCACATGTTTTGAAAGTTGCTTGCTTTAACCTCATTGCCATTCTATGAGATCGAAGCTGGAAATTTCTTTGAAGAAACTGAAATTGGCTTAAGTGATGCTACCTGACATTATTTTCATGGTTGCGATCTTTATTTTCTTTTCTCTCACAGAGCAATTTCTCTTCAGTCTTTACATTTTTCTCCAATCAAAGTCTCTAAAAGCTTCAATATTTGATATTATATTCATCCTTCTCCTGTTGTGGCTGCCATTGGAGAAATTATGAGGTGCAGAGTCTAGATGTAGAGATGTCCGTTTTACTTGAGTTTTAACGGCTCTTTTTTGCGTTTTGACTACTTTTTACTTGTGTTTTGGTTGCATTTTTTGTCGTTTGGCTTAAAGTTCTGCGTACACATAAAATAGATAAAATAAAAAATAAATCCAATTGAATATCTATGTGTCCACCTCACGTGTCAACATTTTATTTGGATTCTGAATGTATCTCTATGTTTGGACCCTGCACCTAATACTTTCTCAGCCATTGAGCAGGTCCCAGTCTCTTGCCTCTTGTACTTGGTATCAATCGTAATGTTATAAATGCTCTATTGTTTTGTTAAAATTCCATAGTTATTTTGTTTTAAAGAAAATGATTTCGGCTTCGTTTTCCAACATTTGGTTCAGATTTTTTCTCTTGCAAGCCGTGTATACACTGTGACAAGTTCATTGGAAAAGAGAAGCAGAGCTGCATTGACGCATTTCAAAAGATATCAACAAAAAGATGTTTAACTAAGAACACATTTTGTCTCTTAAAGGTTAGAAAAGAAACGTCCTAAAAACTTGGATTATGGTTAGGAAAAGACATTAATTTTATTCTTTATAAACCAGCTCGAAACCCATACAAATGTAATAATTATTACTTAGTACATTAAAGGAGCAAATATAAATTATTAATTTATATTATTTTTTTATTATCTATGAGTAATCAAATGCATCCTAAGAGAATTGTATGTTATAACATTACTCTAGTCGTTTGAGGTATGAGATTGTTCATTGATTATCATATTATTGTGAAGTAGGATAGTTGATTTTAAATTTTTAAAGATTACAAAAGATATAATGAAAGGAAATATTTCACTTTTATGTGAGTGGAGTATTCAAATTTAAAGAATACATTAAAGGAAAGATACTCTAGTCTAGGGGTGTAAACGAGTCGAATTGAGTCGAGTATTTGCCTTATCAAATCTGGTTCGTTTAATCCTTAATGAACTTGAGCTCGAGCTTGATAAGTGGGCTCGAGCTCGACTTGTTTAGGAAATATCGAAAGCTCGAGCTTGACTCGAAAGCTCGAGCTTGTTTGAAAATTATAGTTGTGGATAGGGTTTTTTATAGAATAAGTTTTCATAAATTATAAAAAAATAATATTAGAATATATCGAGTAGCTTAATAAGATTTCGAGTCGAGTCAGGTTGAGCTCGTACTCGAGCTCGTTTATCATACGAGCTCAATTGTAGGCTCAAGCTCGAAGAAACTCGATAAGCTCGGCTTGCGAGCTCGTTAATAAGTCGAGTTCGAGCCGGCTAGACTCACTTACATCCCTACTCTAGTCATGGAGAGTAGGATTCATGTGTTGGGTAAGGATTTAATATATATTACAAGAATTATTAAATTTAGGGTTTACTAAATCCTATTTGATGCCAATCATTCCCTCATAGTCAATGCACCCTAGCTTCCTTTTCAATGCCCAAGTTATGCAAATTTAGATTTTGTTTGAGATGACTTTCTTACCATTTTTCAAAAGTTTTTTAAACTAAAAAATTTTGTACTGTAAAGCTATTTTAGAAAGCAATATCAAATAAAACCTTAAATGTTAATCACAGTAATACCACATTAATTACAGCAGTGATTTTTTTTAGGTATGGAAACACTTTACCTCTTCTTCAGAGCACCATAGCAAATTATTACAGTTTCCAAATTTTATTCCTATTCATGCAAAATGGCTGATGATGTAAAACATTCCTCTCCAGAAAAGTTATTTTCTTTCATCATAATAATGGCTGAATAAAACTCTTTCTCCACCTTACAAGTTTTTCCGCTCCCTGCAAAAGATTCACAGTTCATATTCAGATAGTCAGATACAATAGGATCGCATCTAGTGATTAAAAATATGCAGCATAATAAGACTTATTTGACATAACTTTCTTATTGTTTTAAAATAACTTTTTAATAATAGAAATTAAACTAAAAATTTGTGCACTAAAAAATTATCTTATAACTGCCCCAAAAGAGTTGAATGATTGATTACCAGGACAACAGTTAGATTACTTATAGATAAAGAACAATTCTTAGAAATTGATGGGTTTGTTTAAAGACACCTCGATAGTAAGCTCTGCAAGCCCCCATTAAATCCCTCTTAACTACAATGATTTCATTTTCAGTCACAAACTGAGTGAAAGTAAAACAATTTTTTTCTATCTGCACGCTTTTTGATAGTTATAAGTTCACAAATACTGGATGAGAAAAACGAATAATTATTGTACAGTCGACATTCAGCATAAAACTCATTGAATAATCATGACATGAATCATTTAATATATTTTTTAATTATAGTCATTGTTGCGGGCTAGAATATACGCGGCGATAGAGTTGTAATTTTTACGTCTTAACGTTGCACGGATATTCAGCTCACACACAGAGAACACAATGTTTTTTACGTGGAAAACCCTTAAAAGGGGAAAAAACCACGGGGCATAGCACAATTGAAAATGATTCCACTAGAATTTGAGTCGGTTACAATGGGCTGACTCGCCTCCGAGGGCGATTAGATTACAAATAACAATTGTACGATAGAAGTCCGGGTGTCAGGCGATGGTCTGGCAAAACTTCGGGCCTCAAATGGTGGTCTTGCAAAACTCCAGGCCTTAAATGATGATCCGGCGAAAGCGAGGGCCTCAGGTGGAGGTCTGGCGAAGGTAAAGGCCTCTGGCAGTGGTCCCGAGCGAAGGTGAGGGCGGTGGTCCGGCAGAGGTGAGGGCCTCCGGTGGTGGTTCGGCAAAGGTGAGGGCCTTCGGTGGTGGTCCGGCGAAGGTAAGGGCCTTCGGCTGTGGTCCGACGAAGGTGAGGGGCCTCAAGTGGTGGTCCGGCGAAGCTCTGACAGTGGTCTAGCGAAGCTCCAGCGGTGGTCCGACGAGATTCCGACGGTGGTCCGGCGAAGCTCCGGCGGTGGTCCGTCGAGGCTCTGCCGGTGGTCAAGGAGGAGTTTCTTCCTTCTCTTCTCTTCTTGCTTGAGATCCCCTTTCAAGAGAAATGAGGGGGTTTATTTATAGATTTTATGGAATGGCATGGCCCGTAAATAGGTATGAGATCAGGGGTAAATGTGGAGTGGTTGGATGGACGGTCGATATTGAATCCTTTGATCATGCACCGTTAGTCAGACATTTGGCCTTAATGATTTTGGAATTCAGTGATCTTGGGCTCGTTTGATTCGTTTCGTCGAGCCACTCGATTCGACTATAAGCTCATTATATTTGGAAACCGTTTGGTAACTCAAACAGTGGTACAAAGCTTCCAACAACGCTTTGGGTCCTTGATTTGAACTCATTTGGGCTCGGATTGAGTCGAATTTGGTGTCATTGAGTTCGTATTTCCGAGACGCTCAGTTTGACTGTAAGTTTGTTGAAATCAGAGTTTAGGTGATCCCGGATTTAATTTTTGAAATTTCTGTCTTTATTTTGCCTCGAGATTCATGCCCGATCAAGATAATTTTTTGATAATATATCAATCATAAAACAAACTCTCAACAAATTTACTCCAACAACCTCCCCAAGAGCGCAATAACATGTTCACACCAATGGCAGATAGACATGAGGGGAGTAATTGATATTAAATAAAAGTTCACAGAAGGAAAAAAGATTTAGATGGAAATTAAGAGCGTTTTCATCTTTCATCTTTAAATGAAATATCTACCATTGAGATCATCTACAGATTTTACTACTTTAGTCGTACATGAGGTATAAAACTTGACATATATGAATTTCAGAGACACTTCAGAGTATTAAATTCTACAGCTGAGAACATTGCGAAACTTTATTTTCCTGGAAACTAGAAAAGTAAAGCATAGGTGTACCTTGCGTCGCTTGACAGCTAGTTCATTATCTACAATTGAAATGGTCTTGAAACCCACAGGATTGAGGACCTCCACATAGCTATAAAAGAAATCAGATGGCAAATTAAGTGAAAAACTGGTTCATCATTTTTATGGGCTCAAGTAGTTACAAGAAATTATGATGTATATAGACCCAATGAAAGGAACTCACTCAGCCACAGATGTATTGTATGGCGGTCCCCCTTGTTGATCTTCCAACTGGACGATATAATATTAATAATGATAGCAATAAAAAATAATAATAGAAATCACAAATAACTTAAATCATCAAAGAAAGGATGCATTTTATGACAACTTAATGTTGGTATGCTATGGAGGATGCAATAACCAGAAACCAAGAGTTTTACCTCCTGAAAAAAAAAATGATTAATTCAGCTAACATACAATTAAAAAATATATATTTATAAAATGAGGCTCATCTATAAATAAATGTATGTACAAAGGTATCAGAAAGTGATTTGGGGTTCATAGAGTGGAAATGTAGACTTAAGCTATATTCTTAAGAAAAGATTACTTCAATTCCTTATTAGGTTTCGTTTGGGACGGCTTTCCTTCTGCTTCTTAAAGCAGCCTTTCCAATACAAAAGTTGAAAATTTTTAACCCAAAAGATACTTTAAAAAGCAGCAAAAAAGCGGTCCCAAAAGAAGCCTTAATCTTGCATGATTTGTCACGTTTGCACTTTTCAACTAACCATTTGATATCAAAATTCATGATGTCCTATGGTTTCTTAAAGATTAATCTGCAAACTTCACCAATCGCCATGCTAGCTTTATAGTTTTGCATATGCAAAATAACATATGAAAAAGAGCAATCTTGCTTCATTGAAGCATGTTTTTGGCGTTATTCTTCCGCATTAATCCGTCCGTTTTTTGAGGATGTCATGCTGGGGGAACCATTTTTGAATCAGCAATTTTTAAGTACGCAGCAGGCAGGATATATGCATAAATTTTAAAATGCTTCCCTATTTAAAGACATTTCAAACTTTTGGAACGACAAAAATAAGCTTTAATGCTTTGCGCACAAAGCAGATTGTTGGTTGGAGCTGAAGTCAGGAAAAAAAAACTAAAAAAAAAAGTATTGTGTTCGAGGACCTTGCTCATATGTACCTTTTCTAATAATCTAACAATAATCATGACCTTGAAAGAATTAACTGCAAATGATACGCTTAAACACTTGTGAAAACTAGACCAAATCAAGAAAATGGAAACAGTAACTCCATACAACAGAAAAAACAGTACAAGCAATATTTCAAAGAAGACAATAAAAAGAAAGATTCAGCAAAGCTCATATCTGAATCTTCATAGAGGCAAAAGCCTAGTAAGCTGATGAAGCATTTTATATTTGCATAAAGGTAAATACCTCCAAAGGTATTCATACTCACCAAATACATGAGTGTAATAAGTTCTCCATCCGGTTTTAGAAGTTCACTCACTTTAGTTGCCCAAGCTGACCGCATTGAGGGATGTATAGCACAGAAAAACCTGTGATCTAAAATTCAGAAGATGCGTTTCATGAAGGTGGGGAACTAGCAGCGCCAGTAATGAAACTCACGTGTAATCAAAAATCACATCAAAAAGCTCAGATGGGGTCCAAGTGAAGAAATCTTCTGCTAGGAAAGTGAAATATCTTGCATTTGGTAATGAGGAAGACCACTGGATTTAACAAAAATAAAGCAGATAGTCATGTTTTATGCCAACGTTAGCTTAACAAAACTTACTAAAAAGAAACCACAGATGAGAGGTTTACAGATATGAGAGAACGTAGCAAGAAAAGTGACTTCGCTATATACGAACCTAAGATACCATTACTAGTTGATAAAACGCAAAGTCGCCAACAAATCAAGACAAAGTTGGTAAGATTTTAATTATTGCATATCAAAACTGATGTGGGGAGAATCACCAAAGAAGCATGATGGAGAAGAGCTCAACAGCTCCAAGAGACCAAAACAGCCAAGCTGTTCTAAAATCCAAAAATATTCATTCATATCACTTCCCTCTTACAAATCCTATATTTATAAGCTAGCAAAAGAAATCTAGATAAAGCAAGAACATTCTAGAATTCTTGTAACAAACTAAATATCATATGCCTAAGGAGTATTTTAACTAATATGCTCTCGTGGGAGATACGACCCCGACGTGCCAGCGACGTGGGAGGATCGTGCGAACAGGTACGATTTTTTTTTTTTTATATTTCCTTTGTTTTGTTTTGATTAACAGAGGTCCACAGTGGTCAAAATTGTGAATACTTAAAAGAAATTATCCAAATCCAAGGCTTCCTCCACCTTGGTTTTGTCCACCATTCTGCACCTTGAATTTCACAGCTGCTCTAGATATGTTTGACTTTCTAAAACTACTGAGGAGAGCTCCCTGCATTGTAGCAGGATACCTCTTGTTTGTTTCCTCTCCAGCAAAGAATACCCTACCATTGCCGATGCTCTTTACCAAAATATCATAATCAACACCAGAAGATCCAACAACCACATAAGAATATGATCTATATGTGAACTTATCTACTCCCCAACGAGTGCAAATAACCTGTAATGGATTAGGAACCTGAATTCCCTTGGGAGCGAACATACCGCGAAGAATACTGAGCGCCCTTTCAATTGGTTCCATTGGAGGAGCCTTCACAAAAGTAATGGTTGGTTCCCTACCCTTCCTACTCGAGCATAACCAGAAATCAAAGCCGTTTAAGACACAACAATCCGGTCGGACAATTCATCAAATATCTTGCGATCAGAATTCAGATCCGAGAACCGAGTATAGACTCAAGTATAGAGGCCGATGGAGCAGGCTTTGAGATAAAATCATTGGGCTTAGGGCATCCGCACAGAAGCATGAGAGCAAAGAGATGGAAACCTAGTGGATTGGCAATTGCTGAGGTTCTCCTCGGCGAACATAATCCAGGAGGAAGGCTACCGCTCACTTGGTATCCACAAGATTTCATCAGAGTTGCCATGACTGACATGAGGATGAGAGCAGATCCAGCTTCAGGGTACCCAGGGAAAACCTACCGCTTCTACAATGGCAATCCAATCTTCAAATTCGGCCACGGACTCAGCTACTCCACCTTCTCCTACAAATTCAAATCAATCGCTCAAAGCCACCAGATGGAAAGCTGGTGTTGGAACTCCTGAGGAGTGTCGAACTGCATGTCTGCACCTCCAACAGAAAGCGGGATGGTACAAAAAATCGAATTGATTGAAAGATCAATTATCTGGAGGGATGAGAGATTGCCAAACTGTTTTGGGAGATTCACGGCATACATCCCGGTCCAACTTGACAAGAAGAACGGTGGCTTATCTGCTGCATTCTTGCGAGAAGAAACATGGCGATAGGTGATCATGTGAGCAGAATGACGACCGATAAGCGAGTAAGGGCGAGAAGTGCAATGCTCCTAGTATCATGCAAGCCGACATTGGAGAACACCACCGAGAAGGGAGCGTCGAGATCGATTTTGGTGTACGGCTGCATCAAACAGAGAACCAAAGCTAGGAGGCAGAAATAAGAGGTGGTGATCGACATGGCGCTGACGAGTCCAATCAGTATATCCTTGGCCGGATTCTTAGTCTCTTCGGCCATGGTGGAGACGGCGTCGAAGCCGACGTAGGCGAAGAAGAACGGGCCGACGGAGGCCGCCAGAGATTAGATCCGGGTTGCCGAGCCAGCTGCCAGCTCACGTCATCTCCTCGTAGGTGCTGGAGCTTCTCCTCCCGGTACAGCCTCAGCGGTTCTGGCGTGTCTCTCGGGAGAGGCGGCTAATCGGCGATCAGAACCATCCGGAGCCGGTGAGGAGATGGCGGATAATCGAAGCAGGAATAGAGCTAGAGATCTTGGTATGAACGGAATCAGACATCGAAAATGGGGTCGGACAGACGGACGAGTAACACGAGAGTGTGGACAATGGTCGGACTCGTGCGTGAGACGGGAACGGGAGGCGGATCCACGAGTTTCAGGGCAGGACTGTCCGACGGGATGGATCTGGTCGTTGGGGAAATCGCGTGCTGGGGGGAAGCGAGCGCGAGCGAGAAGGATTACGCGAGTGTAGACGAGCGCGAGAATGGGCGGATGCCTGCTGTCGCGAGCGGCGTGGACGGCGGGCATGGCCGTTTGCGCGAACTGCACAAGCACGGGCACAGATCACAAGTCGACGAGTTGACTGCGAGGAACGCGAACAAGGTCGCGGACGGGGGAATCATGTGTGGAGATCTCTGACGGTATGGTTGCCATCAGAGAGCGATTCGCTGGTATGATTGCCAGACGATGGATTCGCTGGTATGGTTGCCAGCGGGATGTGTAGATTCGCCGGCACATTTGCCGACTGGTGGAGGCTTCGAACGTCGTCGACAGCCTAGCTTCATACATGGCCTTCCCTAAGCATCCAAAACCCCGATCGACGTCAAGGGTTGATGTAGCAGCATCCCAGGGCCCTGATCGACGTCAAGGGTCAAACCTCGCTCTGATACCAATACTGATGTAGGATCGTTCAGCTAACAGCACAAACAAGCAGGATTCAATGGAATAGTAAGAGCTTTGCAAGCTTGCAAGAGCTGGATACTTCTATTTGCCTTTGATAATAAAGATAAAAAGCTACATTTCATCTCATCTTGTTTACCTATATAGAACCTCTGGCTAAAAACGGAAAAAGCAATAAAGGTGTAAAATATGCTGTCTAGTGAAAAGTAGTACTATAAGGAGTGGAATAGAGCATTCCACTAACTAACTAACTAAAGTCATAGAATTAAGTATTCCGCCAGAGAAGGTTAAGGAAACGTCCCTGCACCGAAGCTGATTGTATGATGTTCCGCATCAAAAACTAACTTGTTTGAGTTAGCCAAAAGTCAAAATAATCATGATGTGAAAGCCGGGCCAGTGGTCTACCTCCCACCGTGGATGAATAGGCACCTGGTGCCCAATGCCCACACCATCTGCGCCATCTGTCACGGTAGCCATGGCAACTGCTATGCCTTGCAGCAAACTAGAGTCCTCGCACCATCCTGAATCTATAAGATCATGGCTGCATGATAACTTACAAGGAATAGGAGCTTCTGGAGGGCTTACTCTCGTGTTGCACACATGGAACTAAGGGATGCTAAAATATTGCACCCACCATGTCATTAGGTGTCTCTTAATCTTCCTATTATTTTTCCAAAAAAAAATTCTTAACGGTTCTTTGCCAATCCTTCGACATTCATAAAAATGTGAAAGACAGCCATTCTATATGCAAATTGTTGTTTGTTATATTTGATTTCAAAGTCCATTGGAAAGAACAGTGATTTTACTCTAATCTTTATCAGATTCAATTTGAAGGTTATTACAATTGCAAAGAGAGGAACTTAAAATTTTGATCATACACAATATTAATATATATTTTTAATGGCATGCTCAACCTGGGTCCATTGTCTTCTAAAAAAAATATGATGTGTCATGTCATGTTCATATCCCTTCTGTTTGTGTATGTACATTCAAATGAGAACACTAAAAAATAAAGGCATCTTCAAAACAATCCCCTTGACTTGACATAATACCGGATAGCGGTCAAGGCCACTTGACATGTGCAGTGATGGCTAATCTATTCTCTTCAATAGTCCAACAACTTGGCATCTCCTAATCTTTGGGACAACCTTGATCAGCCTCATCCAGCTTCAATGAACCTTAGCAACCTAATACCACTTGTTGCCACCCATGGCAAACACATCCTCTACCTGCTCTTCAATTAGGAGAGGAGATAAACTTATTCCCCCTTCCAATCCCACTCTTAAGGGATGAGCGGGGCAAAGCTCTGCATGATCCCGGTCCATAAATATGCGATGGCAATTGTTGTAGCTAGCTCCTCGGAATGCCCATCCTACTTCAGTTCAATATACATGAAAGAGACTGCCCTCTATCTGCTTCTACCATCATTACATGGTCTGTTGCCCCCATTCAGAGGATCCAAAGACGATAATAAGCTTGGTTGTTTGATCTACTGTTTTGGCGGCTAGGGCGCACCTGGTGAATCAACATGGATAAAAAGAGATATGGCCAAGTCTGAATCAACCTAAGCCCATAACTGAAATAATCATATCCATGTAATCACTCGAAATGGGATGCACACTAATTGAAGCTCTATAAAATTTTTAAGTTTAACGTGGCACCTTAACCATGGATTCCCTCAAAAGGGTGCCCAATCAATGGTGTCTAAAGTTGAAGGATCGGATGGAAACTCCCATAGTCGCTTTGTCATTCATGGGTTTCTTAATTAAGATCAGGTTGGATGACCTGAATGCCAAAAATTTCTCCCAGAGAACAATGCTCTAAAGAAGCTCCTACATTTTGTTTTTTAGCTTGAGCCAAGACATTTTACATCAACCACCCAACCAGCACATGGAGCGTCTCACAAAACCATTTATTCAAAAAATTTAAAGCTAACAGTCATGTTCATATTTTAATTCATTCATCATATTTTTGCAATTTCATTTTTTAAGTGGGTCATGCATAAAATTTGAATTAGTGTAACAAATAATATCCAGTCCTTCATCTTTCACAAAAGCTACACTCAAGTAAAATCTCTGAAGTTTCAAGATCTAATGGATTCTTGTTTGCTTATGCAAACGCTTACATGGGCTACATAAAATGAGGAAAAAAATACATACATGCTGATGGGGTTCATGAGAATTGAGAAAATTCATTTAATGAGTTTGTTGGGGGAGTATAGCTTCATTCTTCACAAAATAAGCATACCTCTTTGGCCTTATTAAGAGCAGTAATTGATATATCCAAGCCTACGACAAAGCGCACAGGGCTGGCCATAGCAACCACATCATAACCCTGCACAGACAAAAGCAGATTTGATTATCAAAATTAATCAAGCTTTAAGTAGACATAAAACAATTCAAAGTGAACAAGGGGAGATAATAAATGAAAACATACATCTAAAATTATGGATGAACATTTTAAATAAAGAAGTGTCTTGGGACTATTATCGTGTAAAAGGACACCATAAAGGCTGAAAGAAAATTTTTATAAAACTGTACTTAGGTCAATGATGATGTATAGAAGTGTTGTTGTGTGCTCCGAAAATTCGGCCCTGGCCTCCCCCGCTGCTTTCGGGGGATTTTTAATGGATTAAATTCTGGGATAAAATTCTGGTAAGGCAGATTGGGTTTGTAGATAAGACATACCCAGAGATTTCGCTCTTATTTTGCGAAGACTTTATGATATGAGTTCTAGTTTCCTATAGGCGCAAGCCCTTATAGTTAATTACCCCTCCCGATCACGAGAGAGAACTTTCAATTAAGGCTAATTTTTAATCAGATACATAGAGATACGAGTTATCTGGCATATAGTAGCGCAGCATGGGCATCTGAAAATGTGATATTTAAGATCAGAAATTTCACCATCTTGCACTTAAAGCGGATGGTGGGGGAATGGATGATGGACCCAATCAAGATCTTATGGTTCCGTCATCCCGGGCCAATATGGTCCATGGTCTACTTAATCATAGGAGGTAGTCGACCCAACCTAACAGAAAGATCCTTGTCGTCAGCCATAGGTTGCTTCGTCCAAGGGTACCTTATAGACCTGGGGTAGGTATTTGTCTAATGGGATAAATTTGAATCCATCTTAGCTAACAGAGGGCTTTGTGCCCTATCGATTATATCCTATTGATTCATATCTTAAGGATTTGATGACATTGGGGAGCTTACGAACTCTGGCCATAACCGTAATGTAGCAGTGTCATTTGGTGCAAACCACCCGATTCAGAGGGCTCCAGTCATAACCGTTTATCCTGCGGTGCCACTTGGTGGCAAAACAGCTAATTAGAGGACACGTGCCCCGTCCCCGCTGCCAAAAGACTATTTGAGAATGAATCTTAGTGATATTCTCGACCAGACATTACCTCTTTGTCAGCTGAAGTAGTTTTCAATTTGTCTACCTCAACAAACTATTACAGATGGTGGATAGATTTTACTTTAAGTGATTAAATGGGTTAAATTTCAATTTTAAATATTTTGGATTTTGAAATTTTTGGGATTTTTAGAATCTTTGAATTTTGGGCACTGAGCATTTGGGATATTTGAAATTGACCTCCAGTTGAGATCTTCCTACTACGCGGCCATCATCGGGGTGTATGAGGTCATTTGCATTTGTGGATTGAACCATGTCGACTCTGTCGAGCTGTCGTCTGTCGATAAAGGATCGGATAAAGGATCGGGTTCCTCGTAGGTTTCAAACCTTTGTTGATGAATTTCTTTTAAAACCTTGAAAGCCTCAAATAAACGTATAAAATAGACATTTCAGTCGATACTCTGACCGTATATCTATTTGATTGTTCAAAATGTGTCAACTCTTATCAATCCATATAGAAGGATCAGGCTCAAACTGCTTTCATTTATTAACCTGCGCAGTATCCCTAGACGTCACGTGCGTATCCGTAACACGCTCGTCAGGGCCCATGTGGATTGTGTGATTGCACATGCCCTTTTGTGTACCTATGTGTATTCATATTACAATGCATCTGTGGGGACATTTTGGAATATTTAATGTCTCTTGGTTGTGTGGGTAACTACCATTTGAATGCAACATTCTATTTGGAATCCTGTACACGCATTCTGTCCTTTTGTTAGAATGTTGCGGATCCAGTGGTGTGGCATTGTGCTGATTATCTGCATGTTTTGCACAAGTAGATTGTCGTGCACTATTCGTCATTTTCTGTAAGTAGATGTCATGTAGAACGAAAATGCTTTGCTAGAGAAGGTGGACAATCTCCAAGTGTCTCCTCACAAAAGCTGAAATGTCCCTTCAGAAAATCTGAAATTTTCAGATTTTTCTATGGGAGAAAGAGGAGTACAGGAAGTTGGGAGAGGATTCCAGCAATTGTCCAGCCTTGGTGTGAAAGAATTGGGAGAGAAGTTTTCCTGGAAAGGAGAGAGGATGCACGGGACATAGAGAGAAATCAAGAGAATAATTTCCTTATTCCACTCTCAGCCTATGGAAGGAATTAATGGCTCAGTTTCACGTGGGGGATAGGAATTAAATTGTGCTTTAATTCCCTGAGATTTGGAAATTCTGGACGGCACACAAAATCTGTCCAGAAATCTGGACAACAACTTTGACTATGACAATTCAGGATTCTGGCTTTCTAGATGCAAGAAACATAGCTAAGTATTATGGGGAATTCTCTGCCCAGCAGTGGCGGGGAATATGGAAGTAATTTCAGGGCATAAGAAGCATGCCAAATAAGTCACAAACTAATACGGAGAGAAAGGGGAAAAGGGTCGGCTGGTTATAGGAGCATTAATGGGCTGATTGACGGCTTCATTGGGTGCATTAATTAGATAGGAGAGAGAGGCTTAAATCTGAAATTAAATTTCAGATTTAAAGCTGCGATTAATTCCTTAATTAAAGGGAGGAAATTGAGGGGGCATTTAACTCCTAATGCAATTTTGAATTTGAACTTCAAATAACATGCAAGAACCAAGGGGGGCATTGAATGAGGTGATTTAAGACTCTTAGATTTGAATTTAAGAGTTATGAAAGTGAAACAATAAATCAGATTTTGAATTTAAATTTCAAATTAATTTCAATTAAGCACTTTCCAAAAATAGATGAACTAAATTAGGAAAGAATTTGAAATTTGAATTTGAATAATTTCAAATTCAAATTAATCCCTAAATAACCCAACCAAATTAGGAAATCCAAAAGGGGGTGGAGAGGGAGGTTTGGCCGGCGGCTAATGGGGGTGGAGCCGGCGGCAGGGGTTCGGGTATGGGGGATTTCGGGTGGAGATGAATCCGGTGGCCAAACAAAGATTGGGGAGGAGAAAGACGATGGAAAAACAATTAAAGAAGAGATAAAACAAAAACAAGAATAGAACGAAAGATCGAAACAAA